AATGTAGAGATTTGTGTTCTGATTTAAAGATTGTATGCTTATTAAAATACTGTTATTTCAAAGAAATACAGAACAGAAATTTAAATATCCCCACGGCAATACATTTGTTTTAAATGGTGTCTTCTATACGTTGTTCCAAAACCTGAAGTTTCTTATTTAATAATAAATATGTATATATATTTCAATAAATATAAAATTGAATTGGCATTTTAATAGCCACATAATATTATATCTGTGTATATATCTACACAAATATAGCTACAATATGTTATTGCCTTCTTAGTGGCTATTTACGTTTGTTTCCAAATTTTCAAAAGTCTTATATGTCAGTGAAGTAGACACCCTTTGTGCTCATTTATATGTCCTCATCCAGTAGTTTCCTTAAAATACGGAATATAAATGATTGTGTTGAAAGATACAAGTTTTAAGGATATTTGACAAATTTTCCTCATGCGTGCTCTCACATTTACTTGCAGTAGCAAATGGAAGTGTGGCCCCTTCCCCCTTCCCTCAGCCATGAACATTAGCAACCTTTACAATATTTAACTATCTGAGAGGTAGAATTTTGTCCCTTCAGTTTCTATAAAATGTACTGGTTGTTCCTCTCATTTGGGGATTTAGATATTTACTGATTTTATTGATGTTTAAATATCTTGAAAACATTTGTCTTACCTTCCCTGTAGGAATGTAATGGCTTAAGATGTTATTTCCATTTATAACTGCCATCTTTATTATGGCTCTATCATCTTTAATTCTTTGGAGAACAGTGACCTTTCAGCCTTGCACCCCCACAAAAAAAATGTGGAATCCTGACATTAAAAAAATAAATTAGGGCTTCCCTGGTGGCGCAGTGGATGAGAGTCCGCCTGCCGATGCAGGGGACACTGGTTCGTGCCCCGGTCTGGGAGGATCCCGCATGCCGCAGAGTGGCTGGGCCTGTGAGCCATGGCTGCTGGGCCTGCGTGTCCGGAGCCTGTGCTCCGCAATGGGAGAGGCCACAACAGTGAGAGTCCCGCTTACCGCAAAAAAAAAAAAAAATTATTAATATGCTTTTTCATCTCCAAAACAGCAAACATTTATTGATAGCCTACTCTGTGTTAATTTTTCATCCCTGCTGGAGAAAAAGCCTCTGTATACCCTACTAATGAAATATATGTTAAACATACAAATTCAGCCAAGGTCTAGAGCTACACTGTCCAGTAAGTCAGCCAATAGTTAACGTGGATCTAGTGAGAATTTGATTAATGGCTAGTCTAAATTGACATGTGCTGTAAGTATGAAATACACATTGATTTTGTAGGCTTAGGAAAAAAATCTTACAAATTATTCTATATTGATTGCATTTTGAACTGATAATATTGTAGATATGTTGGACTAAATATAATAGGCTAATTCATTTCACCCATCTCTAACTTTTTTTAATGTAGCTACTAGAAAATTTTAAATAATGTGGCTCACATGTGTGATTCATATTTGTTATCTCTTTTTTGATTTTATTTTTAAATTTAAAAAAATTTTATTTTATTTTGGAGTACAGTTGATTAACAATGTGTTAGTTTCAGGTGTACAGCAAAGTGATTCAATTATACATGTACATGTATCTATTCTTTTTCAAATTCTTTTCCCATTTAGGTTATTACAGAATATTTAGCAGAGTTCCCTGTGCTGTACAGTAGGTCCTTGTTATTTATCTGTTTTAAATATAGCAATGTATACATGTCAATCCCAAACTCCCAGCCTATCCCTCCCCGCCACCTTCCCCTCTGGTAGCCATAAGTTCTTTCTTTAAGTCTGTGAGTCTGTTTCCATTTGGTAATAAGTTCATTTGTATCATTTTCTAAAGATTGTGCATATAAGTGATATCATATGATATTTGTCTTTGTCTGACTTTACTTAGTATGATAATATCAATATTTCTATTGAATGGTGCTGCTTTAGACTTTTTTTACAATATAAACATTAAGACCATAAGAGGCCTGCCTGGAGTGTCCTATCAGATGGATGGTCTTCAGGTCAGAATTTCATCATTCTTTTGCAACAAGAAAGAAAGCAAAGCCCCCAAATACCATCATTATATTGGCTGATGTTCGCCTTGTCTTTCATCTGAGGGAGCATTGATGAAAGGAACGGCCTCAACCAGAAGAGCTTATAGCCCCTTTGGAAAGAAGCTTATATTGAAAAGGAAGAGATGAATTGAAATAGTTCTGACTTTGAACAACTGCTCACGTCACCACAGAGCCACGGCCACTGTGTGATCTGTCGGCTGGCTGAAGAAAGAGGGTGAATCATCGGTCTCCTCAAAACTTTGGGTGTTGCAAAATCCTAAACGCAGTACAGAATTGATGAAAGCTTGGCCTGAGCTGTGAGGAGGGAGCTTCATCTGGCCCCTGGTCCTTCTCTCTGTGGGAGCAGAGGAACGAGAATGGCTCCTCACACGGGGTCCTGATGATTTTCTCCAGTAATGATGTTTCTTTAGTGGGAACGTGGCCTCCCTCCCATTAAAATGAACACTGGCAGCACTTTGCAGTTGGATTTCTCATTTTGTACATGAGATACATGGTTTAGAGTAATGAAACAAATGACCCTAGACCCTAGAATGAAAGTGTGTGTTGAAGTAGAAATCAAATTCAGGTCTTCACATTTATGGTGCAAAGTTCCTTTATATCGGTTTCAACTGCCTATCATAGTCCTTTTTTTTTTTGGCTGCATTGGATCTTTGTTGCTGTGCGGGCTTTCTCTAGTTGCTGCGAGCAGGGGCTTCGTTGCGGTGCACAGGCTTCTCATTGCAGTGGTTTCCCTTGTTGCAGAGCACGGGCTCTAGGGCACATGGGCTTCAGTAGTTGTGGTACGAGGGCTCAGTAGTTGTGGCACACGGGCTTAGTTACCCTGCAGCCTGTGGGATCTTCCACAGGTGCAGGGATTCTTGATCACTGCACCACTAGGCAAGTCCCCATAGCCTTTTAAGAATGTATATCTTCGCTTTTTCCCCACAAAGTTTTCAACTCTAATTTCTCCTCAAATGAGTTTCATCTGTTGGCTCTGGACATAGCCGTTCTATACTAGATATTTTGAACTCAAGTTCTCTTTATATTATCTAACTTCTTACCTCTATCCCTAACATTTGGCTTTATATTCTTATGTTTATTGTTATTTTTTTCTGTGTTAATATATCCTTTGGGAGTAGCAGGAATATAGTTTGAGCTTATCAAGACCAGAGTGGGTCTAAAACCCATTCCCACTTTTGCCTATTAGAAAAAGTTAGATACCTACACATCACACATCCAGATCTTACTAAATGTGAAGAGTGTGGCTGTCTGCAGGTGTTATTGGAGGTTATGAAGAAAGACATTTGTCCCACATATCTTCTATAGAAATACTGCCTTTGGAAAAAAATAAATAGCCTACTAAAATGAAAGGACCAATGGGAGAGCTATATATTGGCCATAAGTTATTTTGTGTAGCTTCTTCTGTTCTTACATTTAGTGAATTCCATCTACAGGCCTACCAAATATGAACTGAGTTTCCACTATGTTTTTTTTTTTTAATTAAGGGTACTTTAATTAATTAATTTATTTATTTATGCTTGACTGTGTTGGGTCTTCGTTTCTGTGCAAGGGCTTTCTCTAGTTGTGTCAAGCGGGGGCCACTCTTCATCGCAGTGCGCGGGCCTCTCACTGTCGTGGCCTCTCTTGTTGCGGAGCACAGGCTCCAGACGCGCAGGCTCATTAGTTGTGGCTCACGGGCCTAGTTGCTCCGCGGCATGTGGGATCTTCCCAGACCAGAGTTCAAACCCGTGTCCCCTGCATTAGCAGGCAGATTCTCAACCACTGCGCCACCAGGGAAGCCCCCACTATGTATTTTTTGCTACGCTAGGAGAGACATATTCATAAGACAAGCCCCCACTGTCCAGCATCTTACAGTAGAGTTATGATTCTCGTATTAAGAGAATCAGAATGTTGAGAGAAGATTGTGAATGTTGAGCTCTGGGAACCTGAGTTGGGTGGGATGTTACTCTCTGGTGAAGGCTTTGGCCATCCAAGGGGTGGTATGTGGCCTGAGATCCTGGTTAGAGATGATGAATAAATGCCTGAGATGGGAGGAAAGCAGAGATGATTCATAGATAGGGGATGATAAACTTTATTTCCTTCCTAACTTTGTTAATAGTAGTCCATAAAGGAAAAGTTATATATTTAAACTATACAGCTCTGAGGGATTCATCACACCCTGTGTCTTTGGACTTTAAAGAGGAAACTGCTCACAATGGTCTAGAAGTCTGGGGAAAGTTTGTCTTGGGTTAGATAAGAGAAGCTTTGAGAAGGAGAAATGATTTTATTCTCTCTTCAATTTGCATTTTCTTTGAAACTGAGAAACATAAGGTTTAGCAATCCCTGGATTAGGGAAACAAAGTCCCTTCATCTCTCAGTAAATAGCCATTTCCTGTAACAAGTCTCATTCCTTCCCCAGATGCTTGGAATTTGCAAGCCTCGTGATTCTATTTCTAGAATTGTTCATAATGGGCCTCTCTTTCCTCATTTCCTCCTTTCTTTCTCCTCCTTTCTGAATATACTGTTGCTACTCTCTAGCTCTATTCTCAATCTCAAAGGAAGCCAATACCATGGCAGAGAGAAATCCTGCTGAATGTTAAGACTCAGCTAAAAAGTGCCGTTCTAGAAACTTTGGAACCCATTATTTGGAAAATGTTTAATATGCACTTGCTTAGGAGCAACGAAGAATATTATAGCAGATTAAGTAAGGGTTCCTGCCTTACAGTTGCACACATTTCTCAGGATGAAGCAGCTATATAAACAGTTGCTTGAGGTTGGAAGTCATACCGTCTTAGATGAGACTCTTAGCTGAGTAGTGTGACTGAACCAGTTGCTTTCCCTTTCTTGGCCTGTTTCTCCATTTGTAAATGCAAAGATTTCGTCCACTTCAGTCTTAATGACCTCTTATCTAATGAGACAATAATACGAGATAATATGTATCTCTTGATCCCTTAGAATGAAGCAGCAGCTATGCTGATGACGGAAGTGAATTGTCTGGTTTAATTCTTAGAAGCCACTCTACAACGACGACTCAGGTAATAATGCTATCTTCATTTTATAGCAAAGGAAACTGAAGCTTAAGTACTGGCCCACAGTCATAGGGCCTGGTACTTGAACTAAGGTTGTTGAACTCTGGAGCTGAACTCGAGGCAGCTGGTTTCTTCCCGCATCATCTGTTGCTTGATTGCATGCTAAAGATGTACCAAGATCCACCACCAGATAGTGGTTATCAAAGTTAGAAGAAGTTTGCTATAGTTTCCTATTGGAGGTTCTGAAATATGAACTTGGGATTTGGGGGGATATTGCATAGACAAGGAGGAAGAATGCCACCCTTTCAGATTGAGCCAAAGGAGACATGTGTCAGGAGTGAACAGAATGAGTCTGGGGGGTATAAAACAGTTAGTTTGGCTTGCTCAGAGAGTCTTTGGGTAGATGAGATTGAATAGGTGATAACACTGGCTGATGGTTGGCATCAAATACCACACTCAGTAAACAAATAAATTCGTTCATTCAACAGATATTGATAGAAATGAAGCATAGATATTTCCACAGGTACATAACCTAATACAGAATGAGTGTTCCTTTTGGGTTTGAATCATGGCTCTGTTATTTGCTAGTTCTTTGCCTTGAGTGAGTGGTTTAACATCTCTGGACTTTAGTTTTTCATCTGTGGGATGGGAATAATGATACATATTACATAGATTTATGAGAACTCAAAGTTATGTCTGAGTGATACCTTCAAAATAATATACTCAATGGAGCAAATGATATGCTCAATCTACAGTAATGCTATTACTGCTTGAATTAAAAAAATTAATACATGTAAAGTGTCTGATACAATGCCTAACACCCTGTAAGCACTGCATAAATGTGAACTCTTTCTGCTACTACTTCCATCATGAGACAGATATTGGGCCTTAATATTGCTGGTAATCTAGCAGAAAGAAAAACCAAATACAATTCATGAAATGCAACATCATTATTATGGAGATATTACAAGGTACACTGTCAATATCAATAAAGAGATATCAAAGTTGGCCAAGGAAATGTGGATGAACGGGGAAAGCTTTATAGAGAAAGCCACATTTAGAAAAAAAACATCTTAAAAATATAGAGGAATTAGGGTAGATGAAAAAGTAGCTGAAGGGTATTTTGACAGAAAGCCCAAGCAGAAAGATGTTAGAGGTGCTAGGAGTGCTCTCTGAAAACAAATCAGAAGTGAATCGCTGAGACGTGATGTGAGAAGGTGGAGGGGCAAGAAGTGGAGATGAAGAAGTAGACAGCAACCAGATCAGGCTGTACCTTGTAGGCCATGTGAAGCCATTTAAGATTCCACCCAGAACACAACAGGAGAACAGCGTCTGACTGAAAAGATGGTGAAAAGGAGACTGCAAATGTCAGATTGCCCAAAGGGAGGGAGCTGCCTTTTGCATTTTTAAAAATGATCACTGAAGGCATGAGTCCTCTCCCGACTGTGGTAGCGAGTTAATGGTAACAGCCTTCACTTGGAATTCTGTTCTCTCCCAAATGGAGGATGACAGTCTTCAGCCTGGTTCAAAGGAGGCAGAGTTACATGGGAATAGTGTGTCAGATCGGTGGTGAAAATGACAGCTTGACACCAAAAGTATTGATTCCAACTGTAGGCAAGATAACTTTCAAAAGGTCAGACCTGGGAGTCACAAAATATACTGCTCACCTTGTCAAAAAAGAGGTTGATGCACATGAAAACTGTATGATGAGGGGCTTCCCTGGTGGCGCAGTGGTTGAGAGTCTGCCTGCCGGTGCAGTGGATGCGGGTTCATGCCCCGGTCCGGGAGGATCCCACATGCCGCGGAGCGGCTGGGCCCCTGAGCCATGGCCGCTGAGCCTGTGCGTCCGGAGCCTGTGCTCCGCAATGGGAGAGGCCACAGCAGTGAGAGGCCCGTGTACCAAAAAAAAAAAAAACTGTATGATGAAATGAAGCACACATGACTTTGGAGCTACATTGCCTGGGTGGAGCTGCCCCTCTCTAGCTGCCTGCTTGCCAGCCTACCTTTCTTCTTTCCATAAATATTTATTGAGCACTTGCTGTGTAACCTTAGGCAGATTACTTCACCCCTCTGAGGCTTTTTCCTCACTTGCAAATTGGGGATTAGTACTGCCTCCTCCCAACCTGGGAATCAAATGAGACAATGTATTTGAAAGCACTCAGTACAATGCCAGTCACATGGTAGATGCTTAATAAGCATGTTTCTCCTTTGCACTCATTGCTCCATAGATATTCACTCAGTACCTTCTGTGTTCCAGGCATTAGTGGGGACACGGGACAGGAACAGAACAGGCAGACTCTCTTGAAGCTTTCAGTGGAGACACAGAAAGTAAACGAGTAAAAAAACAAAGTGGGGAAACAAAATAAACGAGTAAAACAACCGAAATAATACCTGGTAGTGATAAATGCTATAAAGATAAAAACAGTGATGTAAAAAGCAGGGTATGCTAGAGGGAGTGCTACTTTTGTAGGGTGGTAAGTTGTATCCTGTTGGAGAAAGTGTTATTTTGCAGCTGTAACGTGAGTAAGTATTGAAGCCTAAGGTGGCAAGATCCGGGAAGGTACTTACCAGGCAAAGGGAACTCCAAGTTGAAACATGCTGAGATATAAACAGCCTTAGAACATTGGAGAAGCAGAATGAAGCCAGGTTCCTGGAGCCAGATACATGAGCAAGAAAGTAACGTTTGCAAGTTTGGGATGGTAGTCAGCAGCCTACTGCAGACAAGCATCCTCATAGCAGAGCACGGTGTCACTGTCAGAGAAGGTACACAGAAGACCAGCGTCCTCCAAAACAACCCTCTTTCTGTTCGTGATTCCCTTCGTCCACGACCCTGCCAAGCAAGCATTTAAGAGCAGCTTGGACATCTGGACTAGAAAGATAATTTTGCTGTTTCCTTCAACCCAGCAGTTTTCAAGAGCACAAGCTCAGATCTTCAATCTTTCTTTAATCTCTCAGTGTGTGGCATATGTCACTTTTGGAGATAGACATTTTACAATAGAATCCTAGAGCTTACAAGCTTATGGTGGAGATAAGTGCGCACAGCAGAAGTACTATAGCAGAGTTACAGAAGCTCTGTGAGAGCGCGGAAAACAGACAAAAATCTACACGTGTGATCTGGGAAGGCTTCATGGCGGAAGTTTCAAGTCAAATGTTGCTGGTGTCCAAAGGTGGGAGGTGTGGTCTTCTTCCCTCTGTGTTTTGTTTTCTTCTAAATATATCCAGATTTTTACCAATCTAAATATATCCAGATTTCTTCTAAATCATTTTTTTTCTTTCTCCTTTTCTTTAGAACTGCTTTTAATATTAGAGAGATGATATTTTTTAATTTGCCCCAGTTCAGGATCAGGTGTGCCCACGTGTGACATGTGACCATTCTGGTTTATATGTTCTTTTATTACTTCCCCTCAGGTAACATGATTTTATTTGCAGTAAAAAGAAATGTCAATTCCAAAACACTTTCAATAATTAAACATTGTCTAAGATTGCAGCTTTATTAGAACCCAGAAATTTCTAGCCTCTTTTCTAATTACCTCTCCAAAATTACATGGTCACCCTCGTTACAAACAAAGACATGTAAGGAAGGTTTTTTCTTGCAAAGCACAGGCGACATTTTCCTCTTTTTGTCCTTCATATGTTTACTGTATACTAAATAGATGTCAGGCTTGGCAGTAGGAGTTAGGCTTGGAACATATAGTTTGGTTGGGGGGAGAGGGTTGGAGCAAAAGGAATAGAATTGCAACAAACAGTGTGGTTATTTCTGGGTTGCTTAAGAAACTTATAAGAATGGGACATACAAGGCTATTTTCTGGATAGAGAGACCATTTCCCAGGAAAGAGATCTGTAAATAGATCCTGGGTCCCAAATACCCAAAGAAAGGCGTTCTTTTAGTCAATCGTAGACTGAGTGGTCACAACTGTTTGTGCTGGAGAAAGAGGCCAGAGGTAATTATACAACCAGAGATACATGGATTTTTTTCAGGCAGTCATTGCCATAATTCCAAGTCTTGGCCTTCTGTATTACTGATACAGGTCATACCTGTAGTTCATCCTCCTCCAAACCATTTGCTAATGAAAGGGAAAAGAAAAATAGAATCCTGGGATCTGGCCAACTTTTGTAATGGCTTGTGGATAGGTACCTTCGTCCCATTTGCCAGTTAGTCTCCAGCACACTCAAGATGGAGAGGCGTGGAGGAATTATTCTTCTGAGCTACAGCAGCAACACTATTTTGTTGAATGTAACTTCTTGTTTTCTCTGATGATAACAGTAAAAGTTCATTGAACAAAACTTGGGAAATTGAGCCTAAATAATAAGAGATAAATGAGCTATAACTTTGGAGCTCAGGAAAAATGTACTTTATTATTTGTATCTTTCCCCTACTGCACGCCTGTTTGTGCTAAGGACACCTTGCTCCCCATAAACTTTTTAATAATGTGGGGTACCTTAATGTCCTGTCATGAGAATGAGCCATACTGCTTTTTAACGGCAGGGATACGTCCAGTGTTCACTGTGGTTGTTTCTCTTTCTGTTCCCGTTGGGTTGCTGTGACAGAAGTAGTGTATTGGAGAGGCTCTGACTTGATTCTGGAGCCAGAAAATCTGGGTTTGAGCCCTGTTTCACAATAGCTGTGTAACCTTGGTTAAGTTAACTAATATCTAAGTGCCTTGGTTACTTCATCTACAAAGTGGAGATAATAGGAATACTGTATAGTAGCTAGGTACTTTGTTGAATGAGTTAATATGTAGAGACTAGAAGAACCCCTGGCACCTACAGAGTGTTGAATAATGTAAGCTATTACCACAGGGGGACACAAGCTCTAGTGCCCATATAGGGGCCAGGAAGATCACGTAAATGAGTCAGGCATAAAAAAATGCAGCTCTTTTGGTCTTTCATTTTCCAACACTGTATTAAAAATAAGGGGATAGAGGACACTTCTCAAATATGTAGGATAAAAAGTCCCTTGCAAGAGTGATAAATGCAGATAACTCTTATTTATTGTTGGAAAACAG